AAAAGCAGCTGGAGCAGCAGCTGGAGCAGAAGGAAGAGCAGCAGCTGCAGCCACGGCAGGAGCCTCAGGGGTGCATTGACGTTCTCAACCCCATCAAAGAGCCTGAGCAGGTCCCACAGGCTCCAGAAAAGTGCTTCCCTCCCGTGGAGCAGCAGCAGCAGAAGCAGCAGGTGCACTGGCCCTTCAAACAATAACTTTCCCCAGCTCCCCCCACCCCAGGACCTCTTCTCCCTCCAAAATGAGGAGTTAGAGAGAGAAAGAGACACGGCCCAGGCTTACCTCATGCTTTCCCCAGCCTAGGTGGTCCGCCTCATCCTCAGAATGTCCCTGACTCCCTTCCTCTCTTTGTACATTTCGTGCATCTCTAGGACAGGAGGCAGGCACTGAAAGAGGGGAGACCATTCTCTCCCTTGTCCTGTCTTCCCCCGCCCCCATCCCAACCTCATCTGCACCTTGGGAATTGAGCCTCTACTCAGTGGATTGTGTAACCTTTGTGGTGTCATAAATATCATCCTTAAGTTTTGTGTCCTGCTAAAGTGTCTATGTGTGACTCTCTTGATGTGAGTGGGCATTTGTGCTCCTACCAATAAATCTTGGAATCCCTAAAACACAGTGTCCTCTTCTCCTTTATTCACCAAACATCCCCTAGGTTCCCAGTGCCCTTCGTAGCTGATGTCTGACTTTCCTTTGGCCAATCCCTTTGTTCTTTAGCCTGATGCACTAGAGGTAAGAGTGAACTGGGATTCAGCAGACCCAGGTTCAAATCCTATCTCTAACACTTACTACCTTTTATGACTTTGGATAAGTTACTGCTCTGGGCCTCAGTCTTCTTGGGGTGGTGTGTTAGTGGTGGGGTAGGTAGTTAAACTAGGATCAGGGGTAGGGAACTTGTGGCCTTGAGACCACATGTGGCCTTCTAGATCCTTAAGTGTGGCCTTCTGACTGAATCCAAATTTTGCAGAGCAAATCACATGTGGCCTCAAGGCTGAAGGTTCCCTTCTCCTGAACTAGGTGGACCAGATCTAAAGAGCTCAGAAACTTTCTGCAGCTCCCATACATTCCCATAGATGCTATAGCTGTAATAATTCCTGGCTTAAAGTAAAACAAACAGGAACAAGGACATCAAAACTCCACCAAGTAACTAACCTCTGAAACATTCTGGGAATGCTCCTTTTGCAACTGAATCTAAGATCATTAATTTAGAGCTAGAAGGGGCCTTAGAGGTCTTTGTATCCAACTTTCTCATTTTTCAGATGAGGAAATTGAGATCCAGAGATGTTAAGTGACTGGCCTGAGGACACTTAAATAAGTGAGATTTGAACCCATTTCTTCTCTTTCCAAATCTGTTGCTTTTTCTGCTGCTGTTATGCTGGCTCAGAGATCTGTCATCTCTTTAATAAAATTAGGTCACCTCCTCCTATGCCCGTGGGCATGCCTCAGCCTGTCAGGGAAAGAATCTTGAGGAAGAGGGAAGAGAGAAGAGAGGGGCATAAGGGTCAGCAAGTAGGGGGTATTGATCCTCATGCTGGTTTTCATTTCCCCACCTCCCATTTTTTCTACCTCAGTTTCTCTCCCTACAAGTGAGGAACAGTTGCTGTTAATTTGGCAAAATGTGGGCTGGCTAGTTGCTTGGTTTGTAGCCCAGAGGACTTTTGTCAGCACCGTGCTAGTGATGGGATGATGGGACCTGGCCCAGATCACTGGGGCCTCAGCCCAAGGCACCTGGCCCACCCCAGCCCACCAGGAACACCTAATTAGCTTACTCGACATTCCTTTCACTACTATCACACTTGGCCCACCCCAGACTACTTGCTTACAGGACTGCTCCTTAATTCCATATAGATCACCTAATTGGCCTACTTGATATTCCTTTCACTGTTACACCTGACCCACCCCAGACTACTTACCACTCCTTAATCCCACCCAGATCCTTTCACTAGTCCCTTTTGCATATAAGCATCAGCCTCATCCTCATTAGTTTGCAGGTTCACTAAGAACCCTGCTCACTTCTATAGGTGTTATAATAAACTTTGCCACTTGACTGGAAGACTTTGAGTGAGTGAATTCATTTCAGGTGGTCGCCTCCCTGTATCCTGACATTTTGGAGTTCCCAGCAATCCCAAACTGAATCACTAGGCTCACGGAGCCTTCCTAAAGCTATGATGTTAGTTTCCCAGATCTAGGCTGGTCCATTGTGACTCTTTCCATACTGGACAGCCACCAAAAATGTAATCTTCCCTCTCAGAACACCCTCACTGATTTGGGGATATTCAATCTTTCTCTTATCTCCACCATGAATCAAGTTCTTTCTAGGCTAATTCTCAGCCACTTAGGAAGCCTTCTGATGGTGTAGGTGAGGAGGTTTGTGGCATTTCAACTAAATAACTAGACTGTATACAATCACTTAATAAGTTAGCTATTTTCCCTTCCTTGGGCACTGTGCTTGGAACACATTCTCAATTTACAGATAAGGAGCCACTTACTGTGCTAAGCACTTTGCTAACTGCTCATTTGATCCTTAAGAAAACCCAAGTGCTATTTTTACCCCCATTTTACAGTTAAGGAAACTGAGGCAGACTGTGATTAAAGTGACTTTCCCAGGGTCACACAGCTAGAAAGTGTCAGAGGAAGCATTCAAACTCAGGTCTTCTTGATTCCAGGCCTAGTCCTCTATTCAGTGTACCACGTAGCTGCCTCTGTAAGAAGAGCTTCTATTTCTACAGCATTTTATATCCTTCTCATCAGCTGAATCTCAGCTTAGAGACTTGCCTAATGTCATATGGCTAATAAGTGCCCAAGCCAGACTCTCTACTAAACCATGATTTCACTTTTTCACTGGCATGGACATATAACATACACCCTGGTCAGCAATCCCAGAAACTGACAGGAAGAAACCACCTGAGTTTAGGAGCATAGCCTGCCCTAAAGCTTAGAACAATTCCACCCCACCCCACTCCCTCCCATGATGATAGATCTTAGCTATCTCAAACAATAATTGTCACACCCTTTCCTGATACTTCAAAGACAATCAAGAGCCTCATCTCTTTAATTTAAGGCTTTTGCTCAGGTTAAAATGCAAATATCCCTGGGAGCCCTTATACTTTAAACTGGTTTCAGTCGTTTACATCTTAATGTGAATAAGTTGATTTTAAGATTTTGCTGGAGGTGAGGGAGCTCATTAGAGCAGAGCATTTGAGGGGATTACCTACAAAGGAGGGAGAGAAATCTGAAAGGGGGAGGGAAAGGGGTGGTTGGGCCAAAATGACAGCTGGGTATGCCTACTTTAAAGAAAATGACTACTTAGAGGCCGCTCCTTCCTAGATGCCTCTGTCCCTGTCACCCCAGTCCAGACTCTTACCCATTATAAGCCCTTCTGTGTCTAAATCTCCAGGAAGTTTTTAATTTACTTCTAGGAAAATCTAGTTGAAAGAGTGCTGACTTGGAAGTTAGGAGATCTGGGCTTAGGTCTAGTATTGATTGTGTGACCTTAGTCAAGTCACCTTTGGAGTCACATGACCTGGCCTCAAATCCCAGCTTTTTTAGTTGCTACTAGTGAGACCTTGGGAAAGTTCTTCAACCTCTTGGGCCTCAGTTTCCTCATCTATAAAGTGAGAGAGTTGGATTAGATGATTTCTAAGTCACCTTTGAGCTCTAAATCTATAAATCTTTGATCCAGGTGTTGCACTTTCGGGTTGCTGGGAACCCTGAAGTGTCAGGGTACAGGGCAGTGTCCACCTGGAGAGAATTCAAGCCCTTAAACCTTCTTCCAGTCAAAGTAACAAGGTTTATTGCAATTCCAATAGGAGTAAGAGGGAGAGGGAGATTCTTAGGGAATCGGCAACTTGATGAGGGTGACTGATACTTATATATATTTAAAAAAAAAGGTACAGTGAAAAGATCTGGATGTAAGGAGTGGTAAATAGACTGGGGTAGGCCAGGTACAATAGTAAAAGGAATAAAGTAGTCTGGGGTGGGTCAAGAGCAACTGTGAAAGGACTGTCACATATCTAGGTGGGCCAGATGCTTTGGACAGCCAGTGATCTGGGCTGCTGAAATGTATGGGAAAATTCAGGGATTGGGTTGCTTTCAAAGACATGGTGTTTTTCTTTTAGGGGTCCAAGTCCCTTCCCCCATCACAGGGATATCTTCCAGGGCCTCATCCAACAGAGGGGAAATAGCTAAATCATTACATGATTGGGCACAACTAGTTTGTAGTTTGGTTGGAATTCCACAAACTTCCTTTCACCCATGCCATCAGAAAGTTTCCTAACTGGATGAGAATTAGCTTAGGATTCAAGAATGAACCAAATAAGCTTGATTTACGGTGGAGAGAAGGGAAAGATTGAATACTCCCAAACCACTGAGGGTGTTCTGGGAGGAAAGATTACATTTCTCCCCATTTCCCTAGCCTAGACATGGGGACTTCATAGATTTAAAGTGGGAAGGAACCTTAGAGGTCTTCCAGTCCATTGCTTTCACTTTACAGATGAGGAAACTGAGACCCAGAGAGGTTAACACACCTTGCCCAACATCACACACACACACACACACACACACACACACACACACACAAAGGATTTGGAGCCCAGGTCCTTGGACTTCAAATCAGTACTTTTTCATCTTTCATAATGAAAGCTTAAGTGTTCATTTCCAATAAAACAACTTTAGTACTTATTTAATGATTTCAAACATTTGAGCATCCCCTCCCCCACCCCCACCACTGATGTAAATCACAAGCATATTTTGTAAATCATAAAATGCTTTATGAGTCATTTTCACTATTTAGTAGATGGTCAGATGTTCCTCATGAGTTGTGATGGTGGAAAAAAGAATCATTACCTGGGGTCTAGCCAGGTGATGAGTCTTACTGAATTTAATTAGGCTGACCTACTCATGACATATCTCCAGGCTGGGCTTGTGTGTATGTGTTTCCTACTTGGTAAGACTTGCCTGAGCTTGCTGACTTAGCCTGAGAACTCAAGGCCATGATGAGGCATTCCAGGAAGACTTTATATGGGAAATTTATTATTTTTTTTTACTATATACTCTTAATTAGGGGATGTAGTGGAGTATAGTGGAAAGTGGGCTGACTTTGGAGTCCAAGGACCTGAGTTCAAGTCTTGCCTTTGTTACTCTCTATGTGACTTTGGTCAAGTAACAGCCTCTCTGGGTTTTCTTATCTATAAAATGAGGATGTTGGACTTAGTTCTCTTCTGATACTACATCTATGATTGATTAGAGAAGATGTTATGATTTCCCCTTGCAAATAGACATTAGAAAATATGCCCTTAACAATTGGAAATTGAGGAGGTCCATCAACTGGGAAATGGTTGAACAAATTCTTGTATATGATTGTGATGGAATACTATGATGAGCAGGATGCTCTCAGAAAAACTGGGAAAGACTTACATGAACTGATGCAAAGTGAAATAGGTGGAACCAGGAGGACATTGTACTCCATAACAGCAACATTATATGATGATCAACGGTGATTGACTGAGCTATTCTCAGCAATACAATGTTTCAAGACAATTCCAAAAGACTTATGATGAAAAAATACTATTCATCTCCAGAGAGAGAACTGATGGAGTCTGAATGCAGATTGAAG